GTCTTGGCAGCGAAGCGGGTGGCCAGCAGGGCTCAGCGCGCGGCAGTCCACGAGTCGATCTCCAACTTTAAGACCTTTGTGATGCGACCAGAGGCCGTGGGCATCCTCCACAAGTCACTGAAGGCGAACCCACTACCGCCGAGCGAGCTGGAGGTGGGGGATCGCACCCTCGTCCACCCAGCTGACATCATGGAGCACAAGGCGGTGACCTTCAAGCGGATGTGGGCCCCACGGCCCCCCGACGTCAGCGAGATTACGGAAGTGTTTCGTCTCATTCGAGAGGCGGCCCAGGGTGAGGATCTTCCTGAGCTCACCCCAGACCTGGTCTACGCCAGCGCCAAGGCCATGAAGGCTAAGGCAGGGCTGGGGGTGGACGTCCTGAGCCCAGTCGACTTCCAACGCCTCCCTCGCGAGGCCATTGAGGAATTCACTGATATTCTGAAGAACGCAGAAGCCCTGCTCGCCTGGCCAGCCCAGACTCAGCTCATTGTGACCTTCTTGACTCCCAAGAAATCCCAGGGAGACAGAGGCATAGGTATGATATCAATGATAGGCCGCCTTTGGTCCCACGTCAGAGAACCTATAGTGAAGCAATGGAGCAAAGATCAAGAACAGGCATGGGATGCCGCAGTTGCTGGGAATAGTTGTTTGCGCGAAGCATATCTTCATGCCATAGACGAGGAAGTTGCGCACTGGATGCGAATGGAGTTTGGGCAAGGATTGCTTGACATTCAAGAATTTTACGACTCAATACCTTGGCTGCCCCTGGTGAGGGCGGCCTTGAGGCTTCACTTTCCACCAGTCATCTTATATTTGGAGCTCCTCCAGTGCATCACGATGCGGACGTTGTCACAGGAAGGAGCTGTGTGCACCCCCTTCGAGCCCTGCCAGTCAGTCATCCAGGGGCTGCGTGGGGGAACCAGATTCGCCAAGATACTCACCCATTTCGTGATGCAGGTGGTGGTTACGGCGACGCCCAGGATGAACCATCGAGTTTGGATAGACGATATATGCCAGAAGATCACGGGCTCACGCCAGGCAGTCAGGGCTAACCTTATACGCGGAGTTGTGAAGGCGGGCCAGGAGCTAGCCAAGGCAGGCCTCAAGTTGGCCAAGAAGTCAGTGATCATGTGCACGAATCCCGACGACGCCCGCGCTGTAGCCAGGGCCGCCAGGCTCAGGGGTTTTCCAGTCAGGGCCATGGCGCAGGCGCCGTACCTGGGGGTGGACTTCAGCTGCGGCAAGCAGGGGCGTGCCACCAGGATGCAGAGACAGATCAAGCACGGAGCGATGAACGAGAAGGTGAGGAGATTCAGCCGAGCCACTCGACGGTATGGGATTACGACGCGGCTGGAACGCAATGGCTGCCAACCTGCGGGCGCCTACGGCTTCGAGGTGCACGGGATGTTCGGCCACCAGCTGACAACCCATCGTCGCCGACTCGGTCAGATCTGTGCTGCTGCCACGAGAGGCCGATGCCTCACTACCCTCCTGGACCTGAGAGCGCCAGGAGGGGACCCTGCCGTGGCGATGCCAGCCAAGACCGTGGACATGTGGCTCAGCGTCTGGCAGCAGCAACCAGGTCTGCGCCAGCGAGTACGACAAGTATGGCAGCATGTCCGAGACCACCTATCCCAGCTGGATCCTCAACATCAGGTGCGAGCAGTTCGTGGCCCAGTGTCTGCAGTAATCCTCACCCTCCTCCGCATCAAGTGGAACCCTGAGGATGTGGACACGTGGTCGTACACTACGCCCACGGGGTCGGAGGAATGGCAATTTCCAGATGCCATATACACGGGCAATAAGTTTCTCGACGCACACCGTGAGCTGTTGAAGGATGTACGTCAGTCGGCGGCCCAGGTGGTATGGACCGCGGCTGCCAAGCACTACTGCGGAGGTGGAGTCGAGCAGGGAGTTGACAATCGGTCATTTCGGCTGTTGATCAAACAAGTTGGGCAACTCCCACACGGCGTGCGTCTCACTGAGTTGCTGATCAATATTGCCACAGGTGGATACTGGACGCGACAGAGGCGATATGATGAATTGAAGGGCTATAAGGGCAGCAACATGTGTGACCGCTGCCGAGAGGCACCTGAGACGGCCAAGCACAGATTCTGGCAGTGCAGCAAGAACGTGCAGGCCGCGCCATATGATCGCTCAGAGTCTTTGGTTTCAGCCGCGATGGCCCAGACGGACGCCACCGAGTGTTTCTGGCTACGTGGGTTGCTACCGACCCAGTGGACCCAGACCCCGCCCCCACCGAAGGACACGGTCCTTGAGTTCACGGGCATCAACGAGCTGTCCGAAGGGATCTTTGGGGCGGGGAGTGCTGAGGCACCAGTTGAGATCTTCGGGGACGCCAGCGGAGGACCAGATGCGAGCATCAGCGATTTCATGAGGATTGGAGTCGCCATAGTATGCGTTGCCAGCCTACTGCCCGAGATCAACCTACACGGTGCGGTCTTCGGCCAGCTGGGTGGCCCACGCCAAGTGGTGGCGAGGGGAGAGCTCTACTCCCTGTACCTCGCCCTCTGGTGCACCACCAGGTTCCTCACCTACGTGACGGACTGTGAATATGTGGCGGCGGGCTGGTACTCCCAAGCCTACACGAACCCAGCAGGTGAGGACGCCGACCTATGGAAGCTCATCGGGGACCTGATGAGCTCACGCCGCCACGCTGAGGTGACGGTGCTCTGGACGCCGTCCCACAGCACGGCCCAGGACGTTGCCGCCCAGAAGGTGAACAGGTACCTCGTCATAGGCAACCTGCTCGCCGACGAGTTCGCGGGCTGTGCGGCGGCCAGGGCCAGGCTGCCCGCCGAGGTCCGCCAACCCATCCTGCTGGCCGAGCGGAGGGCGTACCTCGTCCGCATGAGGCTCCTCCGAGCCACGCTGGACAGCATTGCGGCCAGCCAGGAGACTGAGAGAATGGAAAGGGACGCCGCCCGAGGCCCTGGGAGCCCCTCTGAGGTCCCGCCTCCTCCCGCCCCTCCTCCTCCTCCGCCTCCCGCTGCTGCCACTGTTGCTGCCCTCTTGTCCAGGCACCGTCTGGCCGACTGCGGCCGACGTTGCCTCTCTTGTTTTGGTTCTGCGACCCTCGCCACCACCCAGGAATTCGTCGAATCTGAATGTCCTAGGCTGTACAATGTCGATGGGGTCCTGTTTTCGCCGTTAAAGGGGCCGCGAGTCCATATCGCGGGGGGTTGGGCCCACACTACGCATACCCTGAATGTTCACCCGACCCTTCAGGTTTGGTTTTGCACTGAGTGTGGGGGCATCGCGGATAAGGCTCTGCGATCTCTTAAAGGCCCATGTAGTAAGAGGAAGTCCGCCACGGGGCAAGAGTACCTTGACAGAATTGCTCGGGGGTTACATCCCAAAGTTCTGAGCCGAGCTGAGCAAGCTCGGCGTTCGAATGCTCGTTTGTCCAGGCCTTCCTAAGACCCGAACCTGCTGCGCAGCGGAGTCCACTCCACTCCACTCCACTCCACTCCTCCTCCTCCTCTTCCCCCTCCTCCTTTTCCTCCTCCCTCCTACTCTGCCTCCTCCCCCTCCTCCTCCCTCTGGGACGCCCCCTCCCGATGCCCCCGGTGGCGGGCGGGTGGACCTCGACGGGTGGTCGGGTCGGATCCGGGCGTGCCCCGGGTCCCAGGCCGTCGGGTGGGGCCTGGCGGCGGCCCGCGGGCGTCGGGCCAAGGGTCTGTGCGCCCGAAATGGGTACCGAAAGAATGGGCCCATGGGCTGCCAGGAAAGGAGTCAGGGTGACAGATCTCGCGTCTTGGGGGAAGGCCCCAGGGTCCAGGACCTGCTTCCCTCAGGACCCGCCTCCCCCTGTGCTACGCATTCTGCACGAGCGAAATGGGCACGGAACGAATGGGTACAATGCCCAACAGCAGTTCCTGTTCATTTTGAACAGGCCTCGCTGTCCACGCCGCCGCGGCGTGTGTCCATTCGAGACAGGAGGCCGCCTGCCCAACAGCGGTCGCTGTTGGTTTGGGACAACATTTGTTGTTGGGCATCGTACCCATTTTTTCGGTACCCATGTCGGGCGTCCAAAAAGGGGGGATAAAACGACGCGAAGATCGAGGCAAACTCGGATCGGGATAACTCGAAATCTCTGGGAATCGGCGGGTCTGGAGGGCGTATTGGGCGCCGCGGCCGCTCCAGAGCGTTCCGGAACGCTCTGAGAGCGCTCTGGAACGCTCTGGAGCGACTTATCCCGATCCTAGCCCTGTTTTAGGGGAAGGGGGATCCTGGCATCGCTCGGACGTGTGCGTTTCTTTTCGGCGAGAACCATCGAGGACCACCCTGGATCATCGAGCAAGCATCAACCACGCATGAGACCGATAAAAGCGCGGGGAATGGACGTTCGAGCGACGGCAGGGGGAGCAGTCAGCACGGAGCCCCATTCCTGCAAACCTCTGCCCCCCTCGGTCGAAAGACAAGACATGGCATAAACAGGACATTCGAAGAACAAACCGTCCGAAGGAAAAACGCACGACAACAAGCAGACTGATCGAATAAGGAAGACACACATTTTCGGCGGTCCGTGCGGCTTTCTCGAATAGCCGATTGGCCCACCCCTGGCGGCAGCTCTAGCGCCGCCCTTGGCACGCTCGGCGCGCCAGGGAGGGGGTTTCAGCGCGGATCCAAAACATCCGCGCGGGCCTCCGAAAGTGCATGGTGATGCAGTTGTGGTTCCCCTTATTTCTTCAACCCTTGTACTCCCGCATGTATCCCTG